CACCTTCACAGAAGCAACCATAAACATGCACCTTTTTCGGATTCTTTTCCGTGCGAACGACCACTCTCTTTTCGGCTCTAGACTAGGCATGGGTAGTGCTATTCACCAGCCAAAAGAATGACTGTGTATACAGGGTGGGCCAGAATAAGTGTTCACCGTTATGTTCACCCTTTGGTTCACCGATATGTTTATTCATGTTTGTGCAATCCACTGTGACGATGCACAGTATTGCGCAGTTCTTGTTTACTTTACAATAGCAATGGATGTGAAACGTCAACTAGTTTTGAATTTGCACAAAAAAGGTTTGCGACAAGTTGATATTTTTCGGAAGCTTCAGAGCGAAAATATCAATTTGAGATTTATTCAGCGCACCATAAAACGATACAAGGAACATGAGACAGTCGATGTGAAGCGAAAACTGGGCAGAAAAAAATCCGTTAGAACAAAAGATCTGGTCAAAAAGGTACGAGACAAAATTCGTCGAAATAACAAAAGAAGCGCTAGAATCTTGGCTCGTGAGCACAATATCAGTCGATCTTCAATGCGACGAGTGTTGAAAGAAGATTTGGGAGTTAAACCATTTAAAAAAACACGAAAACACGGCTTGACAATCAAAAATAAGCAAGATAGAAAGCAAAAATGCAAAGAACTGCTACGCCGGCGCGCAACCTCAAACATTGTTTTTTTCAGACGAAAAGTTGTTTCTTTTGCAGCCAAGTCTCATGCGCAAAATGATCGCGTGTATGCAGCGTCAATTAAGGACATTCCTGAAGATGATTTAGTCGTTGAACGATTTCAAAATGTGTCGAGTGTTATGGTTTGGGCCGCCGTTTTTGCCGGCCACAAATTTCCCCTTGTTTTCGTTGAAAAAGGCGTTAAAATTAACGCAGCTGTGTATGAAGAAGAAATATTGCGCAAAAACTTGTTGCCACATGCCGAAGCTGTGTATGAAGAAGAAATATTGCGCAAAAACTTGTTGCCACATGCCAAAGCTGTGTTTGGTGATGAACCGT